GGGGCCATCGGTCCCTTTATTTTCTTCTCATATTTTTTTTTGTCCAACCTCTCTTATCTAGGTCGGTGTGCAGATATAACAATGTGTGAATAAAATTGGGATTGGCTTTGACAGCACAGCGCCAAAGCGGCTCATAAGAACCTGGCGACGACGGCTGCAGCACTGACAAGCCAACAAACAAATAAGCCACTGACATACAAAATTTAAAAGAAGAGGAAAAATGAAAAAAAAAAACACACCAAAAGGCTCATCCAGAAAACGTTCCTAAAGGCCAACAAACAGACCTTGATCTACTAACAGGCTTTTTTCCCCTCCTCTTTTCATTTTCTTTTTTTTTCAGCCTGTCCATTTGAAAAACTTTTAAATGCAAACATCATTATCTTGGGAAACCATCTCTCCACACCCCAGAAAAGAAAGAAACCTATCATCAAGAATATGTGCCCATGGTATGCTCCACTACCACTTAATGACAGCATGTTCCAGAAAAGTACTGGCTCAGTTTTTTCAAGATGTCCTTGGAAATGTTAACTCAATTAAAATCAAATGTATTCTGATGCACAGAAACCCTTTAGGGCAGGCTAGAACTGCTCCGGTGAGTTAAAGTGACTGCAACTCTTTATAAGAGTAGAAAGCCTCATCTGTCTCCACTAGTGGTTTCAAACTGCTGATCTTGTGATTAGCTGTACAACACATAAACCACAGTAGCTTAGAATAATACTAAGGCTCATGCTACTATTAGTACTAATAATAGCACCTGACACTTATTGAGCCATACTATGTGTCAGTAACCCTTCTAAGCTCCTTGCATATATTAACTTATTTAAACTTCACCATTACAGATGCCAAAAGTAATCCAACTAAAAGGTAGAGTAAAAAGTAGAACTTGGACATCTTGGTTTTAGATACTGTGCTCTTAATCACTAACTTTAATTGCTGATGTCAGGGTCTCAAATCATATTCAGTTTTATACACCATGAACAGAGAGGAGGGTATTACCTGAGCTCTTATCCAGAAAGTACGCCAGGAGGCACCGCATGACAGCCTGGTGACAGATTACCAACACATTCTCCTGTCGCTCTAGTTCCATTATAACTGGCTCCAGTCGCTGAACTAGATCTTCATAGGACTAAAGGTGAAAGAAATACTGAGTGAAAAAGGTAGATGAGGCACATTTACCAGAGAGGAAGAACTCGAGACTGATCAGGAGCACTTGTTTCTGGTATCAGATTAGGCGGGTCCTCAGTTTCTTACATGTTAAACAAATGGAATACATATTAATTACCATATATATAACATAGGAATGAATATATTAGACTTTAATAAACAGTATCAATAATAAAATTTCCTCTTATAAAATACCTAGAAAACCTGAATGGAAAGCAAACATATAACTGCACTGCTGATATTTCAAGAAAATAAGAGAAATTCAAAGAACTCTTAAATAGAAAACCTTAAAGCCCAGAGTGGTAAGTTGATAGAAGCCACCGTTGCTGTGGAGGCATTTGCCTATCGCAGTAAACCAAGGGGGTTGGGATTTTAAAAACCTCATAGAGCTATGACTGGGAAGATGCGACCTGAGCAACGCATGAGGCTATCAGTATTTCTGGAACGGAACACATCGTTGAGGAGCCTGCACCGCTAACGGGCCAGCGGCTCTAGCGATAAACACCCTCCCGCCGGCTAGGGAACCTGTGAATCAGCTCTCCGGCACCCGAGGGAGCTGTCTGCGTGCTCCGCCGGTGCCTACCTCTCCAGTACCCCGTGGATCCCCAGCGCCAGCTCCAAGCCTGCCCCAGCCCTCTGCAGTTGGCACAGGAGGTAGGCATTGCGGCCTACGCCTCCCCACACCCGTTGCAGCCCCAGTCTCTCCCAGGCAGTGCAGAAGGCTAGCCCCGTGGGGCATCGCCCACCGGCTTAGCGCTGTCCACAGCCTCCCTCAGTGTGGCCTCTGTCCACAGACCCCAC